CCCCAAAGCCGACAATTTTCGGGTGAGGGACCTGTGGGCCGGGGGCGGAGGGGGGGAGCAGTGGCCGGAGGCCAGCGGGTACCAAACGCTAACGAAAGGCCTCCACTTCGCTTCCAGCCGGGGCTCTCCGGGGCCAGGGGAAGGAGGACCCCAAAGCAGAAGAGGACGCGAAAGGCAAGGAGGAAAGTTTCTCCATGGACAGCGATCTAGACTATAGCTCGGACGACAACATCCCCGGCCAGGCGGCTCACAAGGAAGAGGACTCTGGCAACGCGCTGGAGGAAAACCCCCAAAACCCCCCCAGTTCCACCAACACCACATCCACGGGCAAAAACCGGCGGAGGCGAACAGCCTTCACCAGCGAGCAGCTGCTGGAGCTGGAAAAGGAGTTTCACTGCAAAAAGTACCTGTCCCTGACGGAGAGGTCCCAGATCGCTCACGCCCTCAAACTCAGCGAGGTGCAGGTGAAAATCTGGTTCCAGAACAGACGGGCTAAATGGAAACGGGTCAAGGCGGGCAATGCCAACTCCAAGACAGGGGAGCCCTCCCGAAACCCTAAGATCGTGGTACCCATCCCGGTGCACGTCAGCAGGTTTGCGATCAGGAGTCAGCATCAGCAGCTGGAGCAAGCCCGGCCCTGATCTCTCTCCCCTACGGCTCAGAACCACAAGTTTTTGAGGGAAAAGTTTCCAAATCGGGGTTTAAAAGCAACCCACCTGAAAAAAAAGAAAAAAAAAAAAAAGAAAAAGAAAAGAAAAAGATGTAAAAAACCCCTAAAGCGAACAACAGCCCGACAAGAATTCCCGCGCGAGCGCACGGCAAATCCCCGCCACGAGCGAACTTTAAAGCGAAACTTTCCACTTACCGAGTCAAGCGAGAGTCTGCGAAGGAAAGAGGCTTGGAAACTGTTATGGTTCAGAGCAGGAATATCAAACCCTGGAAGAGACACACACAGATATTTATTATTACGCTGCCCCGCTTTGTACATACTCCCGCTGTCTTGGCTGCGATGGGGACCACAGATGCGGTACAGTGTCGGCGCCGGATCCAGCAGCGATTTGCCCGTTGTCCCCCCCCTTCACTGGCAGAGACACCCCCAGCGAAACCTGCAGTGCGCCTTTAGCTGTCTTTGGGGGTTCGTTTCTTATCGGGGGCGAAAGGTAAAAAGACGAGAACAAAAAAAAAAAAAAACAAAAGAAAACTAAGAGTTTCATTTCATGCCTTTTTTATTGTTTGATTTTATTTCCAATGGCTGAGTGGCAGGCACTGGGGGACGATTTTTTTAAATATATTTTTTGCCTGGCTTTCTGTCGATTTGGTTTGCCTATTCTACCAAGCCATGTTTAAAAGAGAGAGAGAGAGAGAGAGGGGAGGAAAAAAAAAAAGCACGATCTTCTCTATTGTGTTTAATTTATTTCAATGTAGCTTATTTCCTTTATAAGTTATGAAATTTAAAAGCAAACTAAGTCTTGTGAATAAAAACCGACAAAGAAACAAAAAAGACAAAAAGAAAAAAAAAAGCCCTCCATCCCCTGGCTGTTCTGTCCAGAATTTGGCGTTGAGCTGATTTTCTTTTCCCCTCCTGCGCTGCCGGAGCGGAGCGATGCTTCTCTCCCCTTTTTTGCGAAGCCACATTTATTGTCGGGGAGGGGGGAAGACGGGCAAAAAGTTTCCTTTTTTTTTTTTTTTTTTTTTTGAGGCGGGGGGCTGGTTGGAAAGGCTAAAAAAAGGCTTTTTGTGCTAGTAAACGTGTATGGCCTCGACGGAGGGGGGGCACCCCTCACACCATCGCACCCCCGCCCCCCGGTAACCGGTGGGCTCCCAGCCCCCTGTTTTGGGGGGGGTGCAGCCGCTCTCCCCCCAGCCCCGCGGCCGCTCTCGTTGCGGCACGACGCCGTTGTGCCGGGGGGCTCCGGGGTGGGGGTCGGAGGGTCCCGCGTCCGTGTGTGTGTCCCATCCTTCCCCCCCCCTTTTTTTTTCCTCACCATTTTACGCATCCCGGCGGCATCCGTGCCGGTGAAACCGTACCATTGGCGGCGGCGGCTATTTGGAATTAAAAAGCGTTAATTTCCCGAGGAAAACGGAGTGCGGGGAGGGGGGGTGTCTATTAAAATTAAACTGGGGGGGGTCATTCAAGGGAGCGATTCGCTCCCCAAGGCAGGCTCCGGTGAGTAAATCAAGGCTTGGCGGTGGTCACATCTTTGCACTTCATCTATTATTATTATTATTATTATTATTATTATTATTATTTTGTAACGCTGAATTCGGAGGGAGCTGGCTCCGGGGAGGGTGTGGGGGTGTTTTGGGAGGGGGGTACCGGGGGTGTCCCTGCTCCTCTCTCCCACCAGCCACTCACCGAAACGAACCGGCCCCGGGCAGCAGTGCTGCCCGCCGCTGCCTGCTGCTGCCGGCCCCACGGGCAGCCGCGGACGCGCGGGGACTAGCGGGAACCCACGGGTAATTCCAGCCTTTTTGGCAGCCGCCCGCTCCTTTAGCTCGTTAAAAAAATATTATGATTATTATTAATAATAATCATAATGATTTGGGGGTTCGTTTCTGTGTGGGAGGGACCGCGGAGCCGGGACACGCGTGGGGTGCACTCCCCGGGCTTCCCAGCGCTGCTCCTCTTCGGAGCACTTTTTTTTTTTTTTTTCCTCCTTTAAATTAATTTATTTTGGTTCGGTTTCGGTGCAAAGGGGGATGCTGCTTGGAAAGCACAACAACCCGGAGCCGGCTCGAGCGAGCGGCAGCCCGGCTGTACCCCCCCTCTCCGGGGTGTGTGTGTGTTGTATTTTGGGGGGGGGGAGCAGCTGGTGTCCCCCCCCCGCCGGGGCAGCCCTCCCTCTACAAGCCAGCATCTGCCCCAGGCACAGGAAAGTTATTTGCTCCGCGGGTTGGGGTCCCCCATCACCCCCCCAGGAGTGGGGCTTTGGGGCTGGAGGGGGGAGCCCCGGGCCGGGGGCCGGAGGAGAAGGAGATAAACAAGCGAGGGGGTTGATAGCTGTCATCATCACCATCATCATGGCTTTCATTTGGCTGCCTAATGAGTCAGATCACAGGCAGAGAGAAAAATTGTCAATCGCCCAGGCTCTAATGAATTTTTTTGCAAATTGTAATCAAGCCAGGCCGTCTCAGCTCGCTGATTAATGAGACCCAGGAGGCCCGGCCAGCACCTCAGCTTTTTATTCCATCCCGTCCTCCCTGCACTAAATTAACAGCAACTTGTCTGAGCTTCAAATTAACTCCCAATGATTAATTCTGATGGGGGGGTCTGAAGAATAGCTCGTCCTAATAGGCACTGGCCTCTGATGCTGTTTGAAATTAATACACTTCCCCTTTGGCTGCCGGCTTTAATCCAAGGTTGGGTTTTGACATCACTATATTTGTTGTTACAATAAATTCCTCTTACATCTGCAGATCAAATAATTGCACTGCTCGGGGAGCGCAGCAGAAATGCCGGCCCGCTTCGCAGCAGCCCAAAGTCGGAGGGGAAGGAAAGCTGCCCACTCCTCTCTGCCTCTCCTCCAGCCTGCCTTAGGAAAAACCCTTTTTTAATACGTATTTAAATATTTTTTTTTTTTATTTATTTTTTTTTTAAGCCACCACTGTTCAGCCACACCAGGATGTGGTGGCCGGAGGAGGCGACCCCTCTCTGGTGGGGCGAGGAGCATGCTGCCTCGCTTTTAAATAAGACATCACAGCTTTTAACCCCCCCCGCCCCCTTACCCCCTCACCACAACGACCCGGCAAACTCACCACATGCCAGGGCTGCCGCAGAGACCAGACAAACTCAGCGCATGCCGGGGCAGGGGGGGACGACTCCAGCTGCGGCTCCCACTTCCTCGGAGGGGGCAGCTCTGCCTTCTGCCTTGTTTCTGTTTGTATTGACTTAATTGGTTTAATTATTTCAGCTGGGACTGACCAGGCTCAGCTTTGTGCCTTTTACCTGCCCCAGGGATGCGGCTGCCCCACCGATAAGGACCTCTTTGTGCCCGGGTGGGGAGTGCCGGACCCCCCCCCACCTCCGCTGAGGTTATCCCCTGTGATGGCGGGGGGCCTCCCCACCGAGCATCCCCCCAGAGTGGGGCCGACCCCAATGTCTGGAGAGATGGGTGAGGGGGTCCGTACCCATGCTGGGAATGCCCCCCCAAGGTCTGAGCATCTCCCCTATTCCCCAATGGGTGCAAGTTACCCCCTGCAAGAGACACCCACCCCTCCGGGCTCGCTGTCCTACAGGATCGGGCCCTCATCCCCCCCCCCCCCCCCCGGGCTTCCACGGGGCTGTATCAATCTTCATCCACGAGGAAGAGAGCGATGAGGCCAGTAAGCGGCCGCCAATGCAAATTCCCGCCGTCACCGTCATAAAGCACCCGGAACCCTGACATACAAAAGCAACACCATATGTACGAAGACAACCTGTATGAATTATAAATTGCATCATAAAAATTGATTGCCTATCCCAACCCTTCAAAAACACATGCTGGGGGCAGGGGTGGGGTGGGGGGAGAGAAACCCACCCCGCGTCCCGAACCGGCTGCCCCACAGCCAGAGGGGGATGCTCTGCCGAGCCACCCGGCGTCACTTGTGGGTGCGAGGTCCCTTCCCGTCCCCCTCTCCACCGCCGTGGGATGCTCGCCCGCCCCTTGCTTGCTCTTTTCTCCCTCCCGCTACGCCTGGCCCATAGAGAGCCTTAATCTATTTATTTCAAGCCACTTCATCCTCTCTCCCGCTTTTGTCCCGGCCCCAGCCTCTGGCTTTGTGGCAGGACCGCTGAGGTTTTAAAAGCCCCTTCCCCTATAGTTTGAGGTCTCCTTGGCTGCCTGAATTACAATGGCTAAAACAGGATTACACTGACCTGATCCTATTAAACTCGCCAATCGATCTGTGCCGCCCTCCCTCCGGCTCGGCAAACTTACTTGCCCAACTTTCCCCGGGGCTCAGCCTAACAGGAGAAGCGAAAGGCTGCCTTTCCGAGCAGGCCTGCTGGAGGAAGGAGGGATGGAGGCTATTTGTTTTTGTGGGGGTTTTTTTCGGAGCCGCGTGGATTTTAAACCTCTGCTTTAGATCCCAGCCTCTCGGCCCCAAAGAAAACCACCACGTTTTCTTGGTCTCACAGGTGCTCTGACTTCCAGCCCTGGTGGGAGATTAAGTCATATAGATAAATCATATAGAAAGGGGTATTTTAACTATGAGCGAAATGATTCTCCCGCCCTTTGGTAAGGGCAACCCTGAAGCTGGGGCATGCAGGCTGCTGGTCCTCCTTCTACAAACAACCCGATGCGGAGAAAAACCTCCGGGAATAAACAGCCTCAGCCCTCTTGCTGCGATGCTGAGTGTGCCAGACTGAAACCGGAGCGAGGGCTGCCCGCGCTCGAGGTGCCCCGTGAGCCCCTCTGGTACCCACCCGCTGGGGCTGGGACCCCCCAGTGCAGCCACGCGAGCATCTCCCAGCCGATGCCCTGTATCCTTCTGTGCCCAAAGGACTGTGTCGCTGGTGCAGGCAGGGCTGACCCAGCAGTGAGACCTTCCTCCCTTTTATTTATAAAAGGAGCGGAGGAAGAGGAGCGCAGACCCAGCTTAACAACGTTTTCCTCGTCAGCAGGTAAACGGACCTCGAATCGGCGGCATTATCTGCTGCCAG